CTCGTGGCTTGCGAGGGGTTGACGAGTCGCGGGGGACACTTGGCAAACTGTACGAGACGCGCAACGTGTGAGTTTTTCAATTCAATCCGGCATTAGAGATCGGCGTGCGCGATCCGATCCCTTCGCGGTAACGTGCAAACATGTTCTGGATACAATACATATATATACGCGCAGTCGAAGAGACACACCGAGAGAGAGAGAGAGAGAGGAGAGAGAGAGAGAGAACGAAGAGAAGCAGAGGAACGAGTCGCGGTATAAAACGGTGGAGCGTGCGGAGGGTAGAAAAAGATTCTCCTTTGCCTATATCTGTTTTCCACTTTTTTCCCCGACAGGGCTACCACGCGAGAGAACCAGCCTCTCTTTCTCCCCGCGCTTACACTCACCCCCTTTTTAGTGCCGCCTTCCTACTCCTCTTCCTCGCGCTACTCTTTCTCTATCTGTCTATCTTCCTCCCGTTTCATTCTTCGCGCTGCAAACGCGCGCGGTTCCTCCCCCCCTCTGCCACCCTCTCCCGCTTCGTCTTTGCCTCGAAATGTGGCATTCAACAGGGCTTCCACGCTGCTTGCGGTGGTGCGGAATCCGCGCCGGTTTGCCGCTACGCGCGCGGCTACGCGGGCGGAGGGGGTGCATCGGGGAAATGATGCGCAGATTGGCCGGATCATCTCAAAAACCACCAACCCTCCCGCCTCCTAGCCCTCCTCCTCCACCTCCGCCTCCTCTTTCATCCCCTCGTGCTCGTTCATCCTCTGCCTCCCTCGTGCTCTTCGCTTTTCCGCAGGCAGCCGCTCCCCGTTACTCTCGCACCCTCGTCGCCGACAGTCGCCAAGGGGTGGAATACAACCCCCACCGTTGCCACCGCCGTCACCACCGCGCTGCCACCGCCGCCGCCACCGCACCATCACCGAATAACCATCTCGACTGCCACGCAGCCGTCGACGACGAGTGACTGAGTCCTCCGATTATTATCTCATTTGCCGCCACGCAAAGCAGCACGCGTCTACATCGCCGCACGGCGCGCTCCGCCAACAGGGATCCATAGATCGTCACCCCCGGGGCGACTGGATCGTCGTCCAAACTTCGACGGCGCCAACTTTGAGAAATCCCCGTCGCGTGTGAAGGTGAGTGTGCAGTTTCTCAGGATGACCGCGTGCCGTCAAGAATATATTTTCATCGGTGACATGGTCTCGCGGGTGACCTCGCGAAAACATTTCACAAAGTTTTCTACGCTAAATTCTACGGTCTTTACACGAGATTCGCAAGTGTTGTCTCATTTATTTGTTACAAGTTCTTTGTTTTTTATTTTCAGAAACAATTTTTATCTCATTCAAGGTCGTTGACAATATAATTTTTCTTCAACTATTGTATAAATCAATTGTTTCGCAACCAAGATGTTGCTTTTAATCATTGTTTTGCGTAAAGCGAAATGTTGCGATGAAGAATATTTTGTTTTGTCCGCGACGTTAATTAAGTACTTATCGTATATTTAAATTTGATTAAATTCATGATTTTACGTGGCATAGCATCATTTTGTGTTTCCGCGATTCTAATCTCACTTGCATTCCTCATTCTTCGAAGCGCGATACAACTCTGATGCACCTGCTACGCTCACCGTACGTGATATCTATCTAATGATGCTGCGGTTGTACCGCTTAACTGGCTATTTAATGTACTTCCCGTTAAACATCTGCCATGCATGTCGCATCTGCATGATAATCAAAACGATCGATTCCGCGAGCGCTTTGTTTTCTTTTGGTGTACATGATTGCGGCGCGATTAACATTCACGATGGATGACCGCAATAATTTCCATTGCGTGACAATGATTGCGTTGACTTTTTGCATTATCTGTAACAGCAATTCGAACATGCACATACAAACACACACACACACACACAGTTTTTTTTAATCATCTTCCGCATCAGTTTAGCTCTTAATCTACGAGAAGTGAGAGAAAAAACTTCGTTTTTGATCAATTATAAATATATGAACATTTTTACTTTAAATTAACGTTGTCTTCTTTTTAAGACGGAAAAATTAAATGTCGGTAATTTTATGAACACGCGACTTTTTTTTCCACGACTTCGGAGAAATTTGTCGAAAATGCTAAAATTGAATATTGAATAATATTGAAAAGTGATAATCAAGTGTCAGAGTGTAACATCTGCTGGCGAAAAATTGTACGCTACTAAACTATAATTATTTCTCGGGGATGTAACATCCCCCACGATTCTTCGAAGTCGTTCGCAACGGACACATTCCTTCGCATGATACAGAGAGGAGAACGTTTGAATTACGCAGAGAGTTCAACCGTAAAAAAGTCCGGATTCTGCTGCGACCGACAATTTTTTTTCTCCCTATGCAAAGCAAGAACATTTTGCCGCTAGAGCACGCTGCAATAAAAATATTTATGTGGATGGTAAAAGAAACTCGGGCACGTCTTTTCTCGAAAAGAGGTTGACGGAGTAAACCTGCGAAAATAATCGAAACAGTGTGATATTGGGGATTAAATATTTTTGAACAAGTGTAATTAATTATACGCGCGAATCATTTATTGCAAACGTAATAAATTTAATATTCATATGTCGCAAATTTTAATGAGAACTTTTTACGTTAAATTGGATCGTTACATCGATTTTAGCAAAAGTTTTGAAACGTGGTTTTATCAGATCGACGATTTTTCATCTTTTTTTTTGCGCAAAATATGCAGACGTCAAATATTGTTTTTAATTTCGAGTAAAAAAACAAGAAGAAGAAAAAGTCTCGAGCGACATTCGGCAGATTAATATTCGCGAACTGAAGAAGATGCGCTCTGTGTATACTTACGGAGGATGGAATGCTTTTCGAAACAATATTTGAGCAACTAACCATAGAAAAATATGAAAAATAGTTAGAGACTGACAACATGAAGAATACAAGATGCCTTGAGGGTGAAAGAAGAGCGCGTTCGCGTTATTCAACAATATGAGATAAAACAGACGGAAAGAGTGGAAAATGGCAATTGTGTCAAAATATTTCTTTTACAATGTACGGTTTTTATAGAAAATATTGGATGTCAATGGAAGGAAAAATATATTGTGAACCGTCACTGAAGCAAATTTCAAAATAGATACGATAGTGTAAGATTTTATTAAATACCAAGCGCAATTAAGAGAAAAAATATTAAAAAATGTAAAAAAATGTCTAATCTAAATTGTATAGACTGATTGCACAAAACTCACATATGAAACATATTTTAATGATAACGCAGAAAAGAAGGAAAAATATATCGTCCAAGAGTTGAATAAAAATCAAAGATAAAAAAAAAAAAAAAAGAAAAGCGGTTCATTATTTGATACGCTCCGCATCTCGCGATGGAGATAGCGATGATAAAGTGAATGCCGAAAGGAGGTTACGCAGAAGTAGACAGTGGAGAGACATGGAGGGGGATGAAGAGGAAAAGAGACCGGAGGATCAGAGTTTAAGAGAGCGACGAGGTGGCAGCGCGGCGGGAACAGGGTAACGGAAACGAGGGGGAGAGAGGGATGAAGAGAGCGCAGGCAGGCAGGCCGAGGGAGGTAGAGCAGCGCGAATGCAAATATTCGCAGCGACAGAGATTGAAACAATCCGCCAATTAGAATCGTCGACGCGAACGGGATTATGCAGATTCGCGCCGCCCGCCCGGTGGCGAACGGGGCTGGCAGCTGCCGCAGCGCGAGCGAGCTTAATTCAATCCGCCGAGTTGTCTTATGAATCGTAAACCGGGCCGTCCCTCGCGCGCCGCGTGAAACCGAGATCGTCGAGAACGAGGACGAGGAGACGGTGACGATGACGATGCGCCCGTTGACGTCCAAGTGATCCGCGCGCTCGATCCGCGCGCTCGCCTCAAGCGGAATAATAATATCACGCCGGCACCGTAAAGTTCCCTTTACGGTCTTTAGAATAGCTCGCGGAGTGTGCCGGTGGTATCATTGTCTCTGAAAGAAGCCTCCGCGCGAGAAAAAAAAAAGATCGTCGACGCCCCGAAGGACCTTCATCCCGGTGGTAACTCCGCTCTTTTGGCAAACGTTTTTTCGCAATACGTCGGTTTTCCGAAATCCGCAAAGAACATCCGCGATTTTATTTTTTTTATTCTAATGAAAAAATATATGTATACCTAAAACTATAACATAATCGCGAGATATTAATTATATAAATCTCAGCGCGATTAGACATTTATTTCTTTTGTATCGCGATAATCGAGACTGTGTGGTCGAGAAACTGTTTTTTTTTTGTTTTTCGATACTCGCGAGAATCTTTTGTCACACCACGACTGCAACTTCGACGTGCACCGTTCGCAATGATACGGATGGACGGAATTATGGCCGCAACGGTGGCTGCGGCGGCGAGCTCCGGCGACGGACGTGTATTTATCACGAAGAGTAAAACTGACAGCAGTCCATTTCCCGTTCGTCCTGCCTGTCTGGTTGAACATAATATCTCCTGACGAAACAACGTGGACGCCGTTTGTTTGGGAAACAATGGACCGAAACAATGCCCGATCCCTCTCTCTCTCTCTCTCTTTCTCTCTCTCTCTCACTCACTCGCTCACTCTTTGCACGCGGACGCGCGGATACAGACCTCCGCTCTCTGTTTTCCACGCCCCGTTGCTCTTCGGTCTTTCTGCCGCATTGAGACCCTTCCAGGGAACCTCTGCTTTCTGCCCGCGAAGAAGAATTTCTCCGCGGTTGTCATTACAAGAATTCAACCGTCGCGATCTAAGTTGTAATATATCACGAATTGTAAAATTGCGAAAATCCTAAGTGCGTCTCGCCAGAAATTATCATCTTCCGCGAAAAGTCAAAAATTTTATTTTATCTCTCTTGTACGGGAGAGGAGAGGTACTGTTTTCTTCTTTCTAAAGATCAAACATGAATAGTTATTACGCGACAATATGTGAACACGCAAGGTTGGAATAAAATTCATTTTAATTTATACATATAGTACAGTTCGATGTATTCTGATATATTGCAAAAAAAAAAAAAGAAAGAGAAAGAATCGGTCATGTGCCAATATCAATAGAAATGTCTACGTGAAAATTCGCGCGATAAATTGTCCCGATAGCTTTGCGGGAATTCACGGCAAAACCGAACGTGCACTTGACAGAAATTAGTATTCCTTAATGGACGGCGCGATATAGCAAGGGCTAGGCTCATCCCATCTTACTGCAAACGCCGTTCTTCCTTGGTCTTAGACTTAAGGCCGGGAACCATTCAATTAATTTCAGGAGACAATGGTAGCTCACACAACGGCGAGCCGTGCTTGTACGCGTCTTGTACACAGTCATTACATCGTCAAACCTCCCCACGTTGTTCCTTCACGGAATATTCGCGATTACTCAGAGAACTTAGAGAAATGACATACGAAGATCTCGTCGCCCTCGGAAATTAAAAAAATTAAAAAATCCTTTTTACTTTTCCGTATATTAAGAGAAAAAACAAAATTTTCCCATCTTTCGCAAGATGAAAAGTGACAATCGGACGAACAAAAAAAACTAAAGTTGAAAAATGATTTAAACATTCGATGTAACAATCTTAGAAATGCAATAATAAATCTCTCGAGATATTCTCTGTTTCTTTGGCCGACCAGCTATTAAAATGACGACGACCACAGGCGATCCGTCGACCCTGAAGACTCCGGCCTCACTGTCGGGCGGAGATCTCGTTTCTCGCTTGTTGGCAGCGACTCCGCCGTACTTGTACAATGTACCACTGACGCCTCACAGCTTCTTCTTCAGCGAGATGCTGCGCTCCTTCGTGCAGGCAAAGACAGAGGCGTCGTCGACCAGCGGTAGCGGTAGCACCAGCAGCGGCACCGGAGCACCAAACGCGTCGCGTCGTCGCAAGCGATCCTGGCGGGACGCTCGGGATCGTCCACTGGAACTGACGACGAAGGAACGGCCGCATCACCATCACCATCATCATCATCATCACCAGCACCCGGATAAATATTATCACTCCGCGTCGCAGCAGCAATCGACGCAAGTGCCACCGGAGACTCGTTTAGAGAACGACGGCAAGCGAGCGACCGACGGTAGTTATTCCGACGTGGAAAACAAGACGTTCGATCAGAAACCGAACTTCGGCAGCGACATCCTGAAACCGATCGACGAGAACAAGACGGAATTTCCGCGGCAGCACGGTAAAAATTACTTCGACGAGCGACCGCGCCACTTCGAGCAAGCTCAGCCGCCGGAGAACGTATTTCCTGGCGGCGAACCGCGAAAAGTGAAGCCGGAGGATTCGCAGCAGCTGGACCGCGGCAGGAATTGTAATTTCGACGGCGGCAGAAGTTACGAGGATCGTTCCAAGAGCATCGCGCCTGGTCAGGAGGTGCCGCAGCCTCTGCAGCTGCCGGATCAGAAGAAGTTGGACTTTCCGCGCGGTCCTTTTCTACCCGGTCTCCCGGGCAGAGGATGCGACGGTGTTCTTCAAGGTGTAAAAGGTTTTCCCTTGCCTGGCGGTATGTCCGGACCGGCCGACTTCTTGCCCGGACCGCTGTGGTACCCGCCGTACCCTATGCCGCAATCATATCCCGGTATCGATCCTTTGCACTTCTTCATCGATCTGCGTGTGTCCGGCCACATCTGGGACCGCAAGCACGCGAGCGAACGGCAGCTGCCCTTCAAGAGCAAGCATTGCTCGGCGTTCAGCGTGCCGCAGTCCAAGGAATACGGCAATCGGCCGTTGAATCTCACCCGCGACGAGGCCACGACGTCCAAGAATCCGGACGCGGAGAACACGCGCGGCACCAATTACATTCTGAAGCATCTCACGAAGACGTATCAGGATATACAGCAGACGAAAACGTCCAGAACGGACGCGCCGACGGAGAACGAGGAGACCTCGAAAGAGATGCAGCAAGGTGAGAAATTGTGCCATTTGCATTTTTATAACTTCTTGCGAACTGTGCGTGTTACGCTACTCGCGGTTTCTCTCTCATCTTTATTCTCTGTAGTTTTGGTTGGGGAAGAGTTGAAGTTAAGCAATCTTGCTTAGCAGTAATACATATCTTTGAAAATATTCTCGGGACGATCATAAAAATTCAATTATTTTGACAATTGTTTTCCAAGTTCTTCTTAAATTTGTACGAAGCTTTAAAAAAAATGCGTTCTTTCTGTCTTCTATTATCTCTGTTCTTTTCCTGACTTCGCGTGAACTTGTTTCTGCTATTTTAACGAAAAAATAGAGTGTATGTGTTATCGCGCACGATAAAACAATCGTAATTTCGCGATGATTTTCAAGCTGGCGAGGATACCGCGAAGGTAGAAAACGCCGGCAGCGCAACGACGAATTCCGAAGAGGAGAGGAAAGATCTGCGCGCTCTGATCGGCCTCGAATTAGTGGTGGACTACGTGAAGGAACCGAAGAGCGACTCGCCGACTGAGCAAACGTCGTCACAAGTAACGGAATAACTTGCACGAACGCGACTCGCAGAAACGCACTTTTTCAGACGGTCTCTTTCCAGTTTTAATCGCTAAAATAGTCGTAGCGTCGTTATTCGACATTTCTCTCATCGTGTAACACCTTCGAAACTCAACAGTCGCACTCGCGCGATCGCATTCTCCGCCGTAATGTAGCACATCCTGACAAGACAAGAGCAAGCAGACCGCGCACGCGAGACCGAAACTTCTCGTTTTACAGTGCGCGATTAATATCTTCGTATTACGATTGAAGAGACTACGTTTGCTGCTTTTCAGACATTTTTTTTTCTGTGTTCTCTTCTCTCTTTTCCGCACTTGTCAGAAAAATTTCTATTTGTTTTACCGATGTTTTCATCGCACAATTCTTTCCCGCGCTTTTGTGATTTCGAACGTTTTCTCACGCGCGCGTCTCTAACAAAAGTATTAACTTGTCTTCACGCAAACACCCTCGAGTTGATTCAGTGTATCTCTATTCTAAAACAATTAGAGAAACAAGTTTTACCGATCGTTTTTCTTAGTTCGGAAACTGAAGGGTCGTTAAGACTCATCGGAGCCGAGCAGCTCCGATCCGAATTTGATATGTGATATGCACTGTAAATATTACAATAGTATATTTCGATGTATCTATATGTATTAATAGAAAGTACTCATTGTTGTAAATTAAACATAATAAAAGCAATGTGGCTTAATTGTGTGGTACGACGTCTTATTTGATCTCCGTTCTTCAGTTGTCGACTTGTCGATGAATGAGCCAGAGTTTCAGTTCAAGCGCGCGGCACGGTATCACATGCTGTTGTGATTGGCCACGACACGAAGCTCCAAGATTACTTCGCCCTTGTTGTTATTGCCGTTCAGCTTCAACTTGCGGCTTCCCTGCGGAACGAGGAAGACATCGTCGTAGCCGCTTCTCCGGGCACTCGGTCCGGTCAATCTGTAATACGCGATCGGCCGATCCGCGTCTCTGTTCAGTTCGATATACGATTTTTCCGGTGCGACGAGAGTGTACACCTAGTGCGAAGAAGAAAAACCTCAATTTTTTTTATTCGCGCACGTTTTATCGAGTGTAATATACTGTACATATCACGGAATCATCTACTTATTATAATTCAACAAGGTATTTGGGCAGATGAAAAAACAAGACGTTTGTGTGCTTTATTGAATACAAAAAAAACTACAGACATTTCGATCCCTTCGTTTAGATTTTCATCGGTGTATGTACAAACAAAATTAAACTTATATACACACGGACATATTGTGTTTTTGCTCACGTCTGCTCAAATATCTTGTTTCATCATCTCACGAGCTTATTCAATTATTAATTATAACTCTTCGCACGCCTGGTCCGAAATAATTAAAATGTCTGCGGTGTGAGGAGGTCTGTAAAACCTTCCACACACAAAAGAGTTAGTTTCTCTGAACAAATGAAGTTTACCTACACAAAACAATCCAATATATATATATATATATATATTTTTTGTAGTTTTTTATATTTGGAAAAAAGATAGAAAAAGTCTGTTAGATCTTACCAACACATGCGAAAAGTTAGCAAAAAGAAAAGATTATTTTCGCGTGTTACAAAGAGAATACAAAAAGGAGAGTGAATAATTTGTTTTAACGCATATATAACTTTCCTCGTTTTATGCAGTTTTAAATAGACTTCTCGGCTTGCAACTGTGCACCCTGACCTTTTTAATCGGAGATACGGCGTTCTCGTTCTCGACGGGGTCTCCCGCGGAGAAGGACAAGTCCAGATCGCGAGAAGCCTGCGGCTCCGCAATTGGATAGAACGTCGCGTCGTTGTTTCGCGAGCCGTCTAAATTTTCCAAGTAATAAACCCTGCCGTTGACGGAAACGACGACGACGACGACGGCAACTACGAAGAAAATAACGTTTCTCATATTCGCGACGACTTTTCCGTTTCGGAAGATGCGTTCGACGCGTTCGACAGTTCGCGACGATAATGGAACGATAGGCTTTTCGACGACGTGACAGATGTCGGACTTGTTAATCCACGGTAAGACGATTACAGATCGTCGCGCACGTGGAATCGGTTAATTAACCGCGTGCGTCAAATAAAATAGACATGTGCACTTACTTAAAGTGGGATTAAAATCTAAATATTCGCGCGATGAGACATGATGGGACTGATAACGGAAGGTACAAGTTGCGTCATTGTGATAAAATATAAAAACATTTCGAAATATCTTCAGTTTCTTTCTTTCAAACAATTTCTTCTCAAAATTCACTATTACAAATAATATGATACTCTAATAACGAAAGAGAGAAATCAGTGAAAGAATACTAATTGTCACGCGCCGCGTATTGTTTGCTCTTCGCAGAATGCATCGGGAAGAGGCAAAATACTTCAACAGGTGATAGTGTCGATGATGAATAAAAAGCGATTGCTCTTCAATGTGCGAGAGTGTATGTACAAGTACGCACCGAGATGTGTCAAAGATCAAGACTTTAAGACTCTTGTTGTAACCTTTCTGAAAAACCGAGGGGCGGCGGCTATGTAAGTTCTCGTGATATCATCGCGAACACACGTAAAGCGTGCCGTGGTGATCCACGCTTCTTAAGGGTGTCGTGACACGTAGGGAGGCGCGTAGGTATACGTACGCGCGTTTATTGGGGCGCGACGAGAGATTAAAAACGACTTTTTTTTTTTCCCCAAAAGGATCGCTCTCCAATGCTATATCGGAGGCGCGGGTTGCATTGCCCCGACGCCCGGGTTCTGAATAATGCATGAAATTTGTTCCCCGGAATCGAATCGCGCCTCGTCACCGGCACGGCGGCACGACGACAAGAGAGCGGGCATAAATCTAAATAATTTCAACCCTCGAATTTTTATTATTCCTATGACTATACGATGGCGCGCGCTCGCACATACGTATGTACATACACACGTATACGACGTAACCCCCGATCCTGCATCTCGAGCGTTGAATATGCATGCGCCGCGCTTTTCCGCACTTCACCACGAGTGTGTCGGACCTTCGTGCGACTATATCCCGTCGCGCTTCTTGCACTGACCTCGCACTCCTCCTCATTGGCATTGCCGGTTACGTCGGGCAGACTTTTTATAAAGAACCTGATACAACGAGAGAGTTTATCACTTTCGATATCGGGTTTTCTTCTCCGAGTTCGAAATATGTTAACACTTTTGGGCCACGTGTCTCTCCATATGTATCTCTCTCCTTCTCTTCCTCTCTCATGTTAATGATTGATAGCATATGGAATACGACACTTTTAGATAAAAAAAAAAAAAAAAAAAAAGAAACAAGCATATATCGAGTATTTTGTTGAATGTGATTCACTGATAATATTGACAAGCAAGTCCGCGCTCGAGAGAATTTAATTATTGTAGGTAAAAATACTTTAAATTAAGACCGCAAACAATCTCGATCTTTTTTCACGACTTATCAACGCATTGTAAAAAAATTCGCGTTCAGGTTTAATTCACGATCGGAAAGCGACGCGCGACGTTGTACTCCCATCGTAAAGAAAATCTAATATCTGAATTTTCCGAGAAGTTAGTCATTACTCACCGCGGGCGGTTCGCGATAAATCACAGAAGGGATTAACGAGCGGCGAAGATGACACTGGGTGTCCCTCCTTCTTCTCATCTCGTCCTTTTCCCCCGCCGTTTTCAGTCGCGGCGGTGAAATATAGCCGGCAACTTTTCTCATACTTGAGAATTTTCTTGAGCGGCGCGCATATCCCGCCTTGCCCCGTATCGCAGAACCGACCTCCGTGAGTAGGGGAAAGTTATGAAGTGGTCGCGCGGGATGAGTGCTAGAACGTAACACCACGAAGGATGGGCCGATACAACCTCCCCCGTGATGTGTCGGTATCAAGAGCGATCAAGAGGACTCTTCGTAAACATTATCACCTTTCTTCGTGATTGTACCCTTCGCAAATGATTATTCGTCGCTTCTGAAATTTTGTACAACGTCTTTTTACACGCGACATGAAAAAAAAATTCATCTTTTGCTTGAGAATAATTAAAGATCGTCTTTGTATAATTAATAATGTGAAAAGTTTTCAAAACAATAGTGAAATTTTACAAAGTTTTTATATGAAAAAAAGAAGGAAGGATTGATTGATTTACGATGTATGTAGATGTCGGGGTTTCGTAAACTTTTTATTTATTTGTAATACTGCGTGAGATTTTGTCATTTCTCAAACTAAGTTGCTAGCGAACATACGCATCTCGCAATAACAATTTCATTATTTAAAATTATGATACATATAACTTTACTATTTAATTTACACGACTAATCTTTACAATGTCTACTAGAGTTCGTTCACAGAAATGGTAGGATTAAATATAAGTCTGCAGCACACACATGATGGTTTTCTTCATCGCTAAATTACATGCGAGCACTACAATTTAGCAATTCTTCGATTTTCAACTCGACACAACTGCTCAACTACCCAAGTAGTGCGATCTAGCGTAAAAAAAAAAAGTATAGTGTGCCGCAGCCTTAATAACGACGGAAGAATGTTGTATGTAACATGTGTCAAACGATGTAATCGAGAGAAACGATGCGTGTGCAAGTAGAACGAAAGTAAATGCCGTTCTATATTTGGCAAATTCGTTACAGTCAGAGCATTAAAATGAATAATGTAACTAACTAAATCACGAGAGAATATATTTAGAGAAAAACCTGCTACGTGCGGACGAATTGGAAAATACTCAAAAAACACGCGAACCGCGTAAAATTCGATTGCGGATTTATACTGAAGACGTACGCGTGAGAGACTGTGCATAATTACATGACACGTGGTAGAAAATAGCGACCCGTTAAAATGCAGGCGCGCGAATTCTACGAGTATTTGGCAGTTCAAGTCTAGACCAACGATCGTATCCGCTCCTTATTGGGTTTGCGCGGAGACCTTCTTGCAAATCTCGTCGGTATACTCGCTGCACTTTGCGCTACCACCTAGATCCCCTGTCAGATACTTCGCTTCTTTGATAGTGTCGTAAGCGGCGTATTCGATGATCTTCGCATGGCTATTTAGACCCATGTGCTTCAACATCATCACAGCGGAGAGCAGCAGTGCCGTCGGATTCGCTTTATCCTGACCGGCAATGTCCGGAGCTGTACCGTGCACCTGTGTGTGATTAGAAATTACAACTTTGCGTCGCACAAAGCAAGATTTGCATGTAACTATAATTTATTAGTCGATAATAGTAGTCGTACCGATTCGAACAAAGCTCCGTTCAGACCAATGTTGCCACTCGGTGTGAGACCGAGACCTCCGACGAGGCCAGCGCACATATCGGACAATATATCACCGTATAAGTTAGGCATGACGAGAACGTCATATTGACTTGGATCCTGCACCATGTTCAAACAAACCGTATCTAGATACTTCTCTTCAAACTTAATAGAAGGGAACTTCTGTGCGGCTTCCCTACAACATCTCAAGAACAAGCCATCCGACATCCTCATAATATTCGCTTTATGTACAGCAGTAACCTATGTAGTAAATTTAGTCAGTTTGGTTAATAAGAATATGTCGCGTAGTCTTTAAATCACGCACAAACCTTTTTCCTATTATTGTCTGTGGCATATTGAAAAGCAAATTCTGCTACCCTACTAGAGGCTTCCTCTGTGATTAATTTAATAGACTGTACAACACCTTCTACAATCTCATGTTCTATACCAGAATATTCGCCCTCTGTATTCTCTCTGATAGTGACAACGTCGACATTGTCGTACAACGTCTTATATCCTTCTAAAGACCGACACGGCCGTACATTAGCATACAAGTTGAATTCTCTGCAAATATTTGCACGTAGATAATTAAGACATATGCAGACTTGTTTCACAGATAATACAATATGAAACACATTTAGAACAGTTGTTTGTATTCACCATGATATTACGATTATGTAATCAAAAATATTGCCTAATACAACTATGTTAATTTTCACACAATATATGTCAGTGTATATCTCAGTTAACTTAAAGAATACTTGAGTGTATGCGGGATTAACAATAAACTTACTTTCTAAGTGCAAGATTGAGAGATCTGTGACCTTTTCCTATTGGAGTCATCAGAGGTCCCTTCAAACCAATTTTATTTCTATTGACAGAGTCAATGGCTGCTTGTGGTATACCAAATTTACCATCTGGACCCTTCACTGGTGTTACGTCAACTGATTCCCATTCTATTGGCACCTATTATATTTCAGATGTATAAAACATTGTTATTAAACCTAAGAAATAAAAGTTTATTGAAATACTTTGAGACAAGTAACTTTTTGAATAAAAGGATATCAAGTACACACAAATATGTCAAGAGATGTAAGTTATCATATTGTGCAAGTTTAACTGTTGAGTGATACAAAAATATCTGTATTTGCTATATACAATATTTCAATGGTGTTCTCTCTTTTATCTTTCTCTTCTTTTTCAGTTGTATGAAATAACCATTAAGATTTAACACACATAAATAAAATAAAAAATAATATAATGACATAACACAAAGATAATAATACATAGAATAAGAATATAAATAAAGAAGGAGATGCAAGAGATTCATTATTTTTATATAGAAATAGTACTTAATAAGACATTTTATTATTGTTAAATATTGTTCAAACATCAGGATCAAACATGGCAATAAATGTCAATTGTTCAAAATAGTATATTATATTTTAGTTTTTACAATTAAAAGATTGACGTTTTATTTTTATTTTTTATTCAGACACACATAAATAACTGAATAAAACAAGTCGATATTATTCTTCTTTGATATAATTATTAAAGTATTAAATATATCTCTCACCTTAGCAGCATTGAAAATTTTCTGAACGGCAGCCGAGATCTCAGGACCAATGCCATCTCCAGGAATAAGGGTGCATTTGTGTACCTTGCTACTGCTGTAGAGCCGTGCGCCAGCGAGCTTCGGAGAGATCTGTTTCAATATCATCGTACGCGTGATTGAAACTCAACAATTAAAACCATTAGAATATCGCCAGTATCCCATTCATCATCACGCGCGACAAATACGAGAAGATAAAATTTCCGTACGACCGTATAACGATACTTGAGAAACTCACCGAAATTACACCTAATTAGAGTCTCCGATTTCATTGCGGAGCGGAGAAGAGAATCGCTGACGAGGAAAATAGAAGCCGTACGGACGGAATTAGAACCTTGCTATATCGCGAGAAGAAATAGAGACCGAGATAATATATAGACACAAAAGAGAAAAACAGAGAAGGAGAAGAGGTGACGCGAGGGCAAAAGCGAGACGGAGAGAATCGTGCGATACGATTCGCGAGGAGTTCTAACCTTGCTCGGAGCTGGGAGGACGTAGAGGCAGACGGGGTGGTTGTTATGCACGATGACGGTTCCTCAAGGATTTCGCGGACGACGCGTCTTCGACGCCTACTTACTGCTGTGCGGATCCAGTGAGCTGCCATTCCTCGTACAGATGATTGATTCGATTAAAACAAGTAGGATTTTTGCGGTTCGCTCGCGATTTACTTCGACCACATAGAACACACAGAGGTCGTTTACGCAGTGGCGGCACGTCAGCTAGCAGTCGCTTTGCTTGTGCCATGCGCGACGGCACGATCTTGCATAATGCATAACGAATGAGACACAAGAGAATCAACCAATCAAAGCCTTCCAGAACGAGAAGCGAGAATGAAAATAGAAGGCTGGATTTGAAATAACACAAATTGTAAATATTAAATTAAATTCTATTTATGTCTACGTATATTGCAAATAATTTAGAAAACTAGCAAAGTTAATCCTCATTGAGTTTCTTTGAGTGCGGCTGATGAGAATCGATAACGGCTATCGCACGCAAAATGGCGGCGCTCAGCAAAACAATTGCCGAGTTTTCGTCTTGTCAACACTCGACGTTGATTTGTTGGTTCTAAAAAAGTAAGATCCAATCACGTTTGATGGCTACAAAGCAGCTTGTTCTGCCGAACGCAGCCAAATGTCACAGCTACATATACACTCGACTCAACTTGAGAAGAGAATTTCGACGAGAACAAAAACTCGTCCGTTTCGCGCACATTCTCTACTAAAAAGTCTTCTTACTTCACAATAGCCATTTTCAGGCTGTCAGCAAGTGTTCCATCAATCCCGCACGCAACGCTACCTCTACTTTCTCCGCTTTTATTCCCCTATGCGCAGTAAAATTCTCTTCTCATATTGAACGCAGTGTAGGCTTGGCCGCTACAGGGTGCGTTCGGGAAGCGCGCTATCAGCGCTGTTGCATCATTCTATCTTTATTGCTCATTGGATGTAAAACAAAGATAGAATGACGTAACAGCGCTGATAGCGTGGTTCCCGAACGCGCAGCCTCATAGTCATATCACTATGGCGACTTTATGCTAGATGCTTATTGACAAACGTAGTAATGTCCGGTAATGTCGCGGTGTTTCCGGTGACGGCCATTTTATATGACGACGCTTGGTATATAGACTGTAATTTCTTGTACGAAGCTGTGAGTAAACGAGTTTTAAAAAAATCAACCAACTTGCGACAATGATTAAGGCGGAGGAGTAAGTACATAAAGTGTTTAGCAAATTAGACGTTTAATGACGTAGCAGATTCAAGTGCTTTTATCTTATTAGCAGTTCGCGCAACGAACGAGGAACACGCGTGTCGAGAATACATTCGCCGCTTCACGCACACAAGTTTTGTAACGCTAATACAAAAAATACATGTTTTTACATCTTCCACTTAGCATTTCGCGATATTGGAACTGTACAATTGTTTGCCTCATCTTAATTAATGTGTATTTTACCTTTATTTACATCAGTTTTTCGTATATAATATAATCTTTCCTTCTTTCTCCTTAAGTTTATGGTGTATTAGTACATATAGGTTTATATCTGATTCATATATAGTACTCGTACTGCCTTTGATTTTGTATATTGGAGACTTTGAAGATGTAAAACTGCAAGTAAAGCTGATAGATTTATTGCATTGGTCAAATAGACATATTTGTGAAGTATAAAAGTATTTCAACAACTTCAATTTGCAATACCAAATTACTATACAATAATTTATGTTTAATGATCAATGTTTAGCAAATCATTGATTATATATATAGCTCAGTATACTATTTACAATTAAGTTAATCATCCAATTAAGAACCAACTGTGATTGGTTAATCATAGGTAGAATAATTAGCTGATTAAGTTAATTAAAAGATTAAAATTAAAATTTTTTTACACTGCAATATTTAATGCAATAACGCATGCAATGTTTCCTTGCATATGTGTACTAAGAAAATTGCAAAAAAATGCACGTTGCTACAATGAACATTGCTCAGTTAAAAATTTTAATTAATAATATTTAGTTACTAATAAGAAATAATAAAACTTCAAGTTCATAATGCAACTAGAGAAAACATAATTTCTGTTAAAAGCAATAATTGGAATGGTGTTTTTTTATCTTGTAATTGCAGTAATCAAGTGCAAAATAATGACGACAGAGACAGAAGCAGGGAACGCGATCGCAATCGCAGATCTGATAGACCCAATCGTCTGAACTCAGCTAGTCGCGATCGCAGTAGGGAGAGAAATGATCGTGGTGGTAGAAAAGCTTCTGACAGACGGATTTATGTGTCAAACATACCATATGATTTTCGTTGGCAAGATCTCAAAGATTTATTTAGAACTGAGGTTGGCAAGGTAGCGCACGTAGAGCTGTTTACAGATGAAAATGATAAGCCCAGAGGATGCGGCATAGTAGAATTTGAAGATTCTGAGTCTGTAAAGATAGCGGTGGAAAAAATGCATCGATTTGATATTAAAGGAAGAAAGCTTGTTGTCAAAGAAGTAAGTGTGTACAAATTTTGAGTCATACAGAATTTTGAAATAATGTTTTTATTGTATTTCTGGTAGGACTTTGATGTGGAACGCGATAAATATGGTCGATTGACCACCAGTCGTAACAATGAAAGAAATCGCGATGACAGATTTAGAGATATACCTCGACAACAAGGAGGTGGAAGACAGAATATGTCCGCACCCAGTGGAGGCGGCGGCGGTGGCGGCGGCGGTGGTGGTGGCGGTGGCGGTGGCAGTGCTCCAGGTGGCGGCGGTGGTGGCGGTGACAATAAATTCGGAAACACATATGGTCTTAGCACACAATTTTTGGAATCTTTAGGAATCAATGGTCCTTTGGTTACAAGAGTCTTTGTGGCAAATGTTCGTAAAGAATAAATCTTTAAACTCATACTTAAAAAATGACTTATACTTAAAAAATGTACATGTTCTATTTGTTTCTTCAGCTGGATTATAAAGTTGACGAAAAGAAATTACTCGAAGTCTTCAAATTGGCTGGAAAAGTGTTGCATGTTGAATTGGGTAAAGATAAAGACGGCAAATCGAGAGGTTTTGGAGTTGTAGAGTATGATCATCCAGTAGAATCAGTACAGGCCATTTCTATGCTACACAATCAACAGTTGTACGACAGACGTATGACTGTTAGGCTAGATCGAGCTAATGAACCAGACATGCCACCCAAATTGCCGGAAGGTTTGCATATTTATCAGTCTGCAAATCAATACTGTTTAACATGTATATTGTAAATAAATTTGTTTTGTAAATCACAGGTTTGAAGGGAATCGGTATGGGACTTGGAGCTGGCGGTAACAGGTTGTTAGATGTAGCTAGAAACATTCCCAATGTGCAAGCAAATAACCCGCCGGTAGTAAATCCAATTTCGGCGCCCGTCTTAGCCGCGGGCGCTTTCGGGGCTGGTTTAAACAACGTCGTTCCTGCACAATTAGGTAAATTTGTATTTTTTTCTCTATATTTTTATGTAAATTTAATTTCAGTATAGTTGCGTTCTCTGGTCATTTTTACGTACACATACATAAGTAATCGTATTTCTTCACAGCATCAGCATTGTCGAATACTAACGCAGCGGCTCTTCAAGCCAGTCTTGCTGGCGCCGGTTTAGGCGCCAATCTCACCACTAGTTCGTTGTTGAATTCTTCATTGACAAACGAATTGGCATCGAACTTGAACAATTTCGGTGGTGGTGTTGGCGGCTTGAGCAGTTTGCAAGCGTCTTTGGCGGGCGGACAAGGAAACACCACATTTGCACCACGTGGACTGTCTAAGTTGGATAATGACATAGGATTCGGCAGTAGCAACACTTTCGGCGGTTCTACTTTCGGCGGTGGCGGAAGAGATTTTGACGGTGGGTTTAACAGAGGAGATGGTGACCGCGTTTCTGGAGGTGGTGGCGGCGGCTTCTCCGGAAACCAAGGCAACCAAAGCGGCGGTGGCAACCGACAAAACTCAAACGGATCGCGACCGATGTCAGACACTATTCTTATAGGCAACGTATGTATCTTTATTTATATTTTTCCTGTTATTTATTTTCACTACTTAATATTGTTTTTTCTTCACAGCTACCTCCAAATACTACGTGGCAGATGCTGCGCGATAAATTCCAGGACGCTGGAGAAGTGAAGTTCGCGGAAATGAGAGGTGCCGATATGGGTATGGTACGATTTGCGTCTGAATGGGACGCTGAGCGTGCTGTCTGTATCCTTTCCAAAGCGACATGAATATTTTGATGTTTTATAAAGACTTCGTTTCAATGTGTATATATTTTTTTGTTTTTTTACGAATTTTCTTTAACATCTCGCTTAGCTATGATGAATCGATCGCGCATCGATGGCAGAACAATTGACGTGCGCCTGTACTAAAAACCAGAGGATAAACTGCGAGAAAGTCCAGGTAACATTTACAAAAAAAAGGATCATATCGCTGAAAAAACCTGATGCTTAATCATAAACTTGTTGACGCAGCGTTTTGGAAGCTGGGTGTTTGTATATCGTCTGCAGGATTATTCCACTCCTGATGACAATACTTGAAATTCATCCTAGTTGTATCGCAGGACAAAGGGTGAGAAGTATCTCAGTCTTCGGAAGATCAAGCGAGTCGTGTTTTTACAATGGCTACTCAACGTCGAAACGGTTGTGTCGACTACTGACGAAATTTCACCCTTCACGCACCTTCTCTATCCTTAACTGTTCTCATTTCGTTTCCCTTTTGCAGTGGAAGTCTTTTATTAATTGTCCACTTCTTATACCAGTTTTTTCTAGCGATTGGTGGACTAGTTGCGTAGGAGTAGGTTTTCATGATGATCTATCGTACAATAAGATAGTAGATTCTTTTTTCGTGAATAGGTTATTTGTGCTTGTAGGTTACTTACAAGTAATAAATGACTTTATACTCTATAAGTCTTACTTCATAGTTGTCATGACGAGAGAGAGAGATCGATCGGATTCTCTCCATTGTTCCGATCTAAAGTGGCGCTCTGCTCGTTCGCAGATTGGGTCCATCGAGCAAGGAATAGAAAACTAATTTTTCTATCGTGAAAATGCATTTTTTAAAATCGTTACTCGCTCGAACAACTAAAATTCTCAACTTGCGACTTTATCGAGATGTTGGATTTTCGTCGCATCATTCTTACTTATCGTACTTTCTTAATACGTAGTAAAAGGCACGAGGTGTTCTATAGGAAACAGCGATTTATCGAATTTCTATACAAATTGTTTAGTTTTTTTTTTGTTTTGTTTTATATTATACACACACCAAGATACTCTGCATCATTAACAATTTAACGACCTAATTGTAGTATACAAAAAATTTATCATAGTCGCCATTTTTTTTTTTTTTAGGAAGGTTTCCGTTCGATTCACTCGCTTTCAGATTATGGCGAACAACCATTTGTATCACAAATTTGGCTGAAGTGATCTGCGTTTTATTGCATTGTATTATGTTTACCAAAAAGTAAGTCGTGCTTTCGGTGGCATCAAACCGTTTTTTTTTTTTTTCTTTTTTTTATTTTATTTTAGTCCCTTTTCGATGCATGGGAAGTGATTTATATAATGTCAGTTATAGGTTGTTGGTATAATAGACAAATTGCAACGTTTCCGGGATGTTATTTTTTGGTAAACATAGCTCCTCTCGCCATGTAGATTCGAGGAAATTCTGCGCATTGTATAACACTTTGTATAACTTCTCATAACAGTGATTGAATAAAATCCAAATTCGTTAAGACTACAAAATAAACCATGATGGTCGATGTGTTTTATTTCTGTGCTGTTGTGAATTTTTATTATTATTATTTTTTTTTTTAAGAGCGGCCACTCTGTCGCGATGATTTGTGAATGGAATCTTGTCAAGTGAGTTAAACATATGTAAATGAGACATTTAATAACACGACGAATATTGTATGAATGAGTTGCATTTAAGTGGATATAAGAGTTCCACACATTCGTTTTTATTGACACGTCTTTAAATACAGATCGCTCCTCCGATCATCTTCCACATGTTGGGCCGTCGATAATCCGCACAAATGGGAAAATGTGCTTGCTTATAACATCGCAGGTGAGATCTTTTTTTTCAGATGATTTTCTTCCCCGCTATTTTCAAGATGTTCCGAGAAGAGAGGCGATTGACGATATTTGGCTCCGGTTAGCAGCACGATATCTCTGTTTGTGTTGATCACAAAGCGTGTTTCTTCGTTCTCTAATAAGCTTTTAGCGATTTTTATTCGCGGATGAGAATAAAGTGAGATTGATGGACGGTTTTATAAATGGTCACCGAGAAAGAAGATGAGATTAACAAAAACGGGATGTTTTTTCGTCGTCTCTAACGTGTATTGTGTAGCTTTGATTTATTTCGTATGTAGAATTTTTTTAATGACGAACCATGGAATCTTCTTCGACATACGTCGATGGGATTTGTAATTCGAAGTATATCTGCAAATAGTTTCTCTATCCAACCTCTGTCAATCTATAGCGTATGCGAGACATTGTACTTTTTTTTCTAGACTTTAACACGTGGTAAATATATATTTCGTAAACATGTTTTTCCGACAGTTTCACTTTGCGTTGGGCGACAGAAAATACAATTGCGTTGGCATTTTTGGTCACTACGTTGGTCTCTGGATTTCACGAGCACCTTAACTTTCTTACATTTTCGGGGATGTAATATTATCTCCTCTCTCTCTCAGCCGATTTTGTTACCACTGACATTGGTTGAAAACTCTGTTACGGGAGAATTGTTGTTTACCGTGTTTTTATTATTCGTCGAGAATCTGTTTACATGTTGTTTTAATGGTTCGATCAATTTTTGAAGTTCAGGAAACTCTTCGCTGTTGTAACGTATTTTATACTATTCGCAATGTGTAAAATTATCTTGTATCGCAAAAAAAAAAAAAAAAAAAAAAAAACAAGAGTTTTTCCTTTTCTGAAATAGAGTAAAATTATATGTTATCTTCGTGCAAGGATAAGTTTTAGTATACTTTAATATAAGTTGTAGATATACGCATAACGTGTGTCAATAGTATTAAGAGCCAGTTTCATCATCTTCGATTAATTTTAATCGGCCACTTATTCCATTAAAGTGGATTATGGTTGTTTAACGGAATTGACCAATCACAGTTGACATTGATTTGATTGGCTGATGAAGTTGGTTAATCGAAGATTGTGGAACTGGTCCTAATTATTTCCAGATCGTACATCGAGAAATATTTGTGTAAGGTAAGTTTTAATAAGAGCTGACAAAAAAACTCATTTTATACAAATATATGTTCTCTTCCAGGAAGGCTGTCACGAGTGACGAGTTTTATATGATATGGTAAGTTTGTACAATGTAAAGAAAAAAAGTTATCAAGTTGTGCTTTTAATAACACTTGTATTTGTCATATACTCGGTTTATCTTTTACATTACAAAATAGTTTTCGGAGGGGGTATGTTGGTTAAATATAAAGACACACTATCTTCGTAACGCGACATCTACTGATAATGATTAACATATGGACACGTAAATGTATGTGTGTATATATATATATATATATATATATATACTCGTGTATATATATATATTTAACTAGCTAACCAATTTAAATGAATATGTAAAACATATAAAAAAATTGCTTAATAGGGGATTCCTTTTAGTAAACTAATTAAATGTAGACAGGATTGCAACAACCGCGTTTGTATTTTTAATATACGTAAACAGTGTACCTTTAATATCTCTCGAAAGAAAAAGGCACCTTGAACATTACACGCCCGTTTTGTCATATGTATATATTTGTATAAGTTTATGTAACGATACGTGTCTATAGGCTAAGTGTGTGTACGAATTATCACATTCCAAATAAAGATATCAAAGTGCAAAACCTCATAGCTTATATGAATAAATTGTCAATTCCAGTGTCTGCATTGTTTTTTTTTTGTGCAAAAATGTCAATGGCTCATACAGCAAAATCTCGATTAAATCGCGTGACATATTCGAGGCGCGCTGAAACAGAAGATGAACGCAATACAAGTTTTAAACGCAATTGTCAAACGTGTAATATGCAATTCTCGTAATTTCGTTTTTTTTATTTTTGTATTTTTATTTTTTTAATGTATAAATAGTAGAAGTTTTATATTTACTTTACCGTCTATATCAATATCAGAGAAAAACTTGCTTTTATAAATCCATGATTTTCTCTTTATTTGTTTATACAGCAAGGTAAAAAGTCTTTTCTAAGATTACACACTTGAATATTCAACATACGTGTTAATCGGTAAGCGTTATCAACATGGTACGCATATATATTTATATAATATGGCTTACGCGGGGTTTATGTATAAGGGGAGAGGCCTTTAATTAGCCGAGTTCGTAATAATAAAATCACAATATTCAATATCATCGCGCCAACACGTTGTAATATTGATGAATACTCGCCTACTTTATTGTACATAAAAATTCTTCAAATTCTTTCAAGTCTTTCTTTCATTACAAACATACTAAAAGAGATCTAGTAAAATATATTATGTTGTAATATGCTAATAATTGGCCAATTAAAGTTAACATTAAATAAAAGAATATCAGAGGAGAAACTAAGTTTTATAATAAGCAATTTTTATTAAGAAAGCAAGTGATGAGAATTTAATTTAATTATGAATTATGAAAATGCGATCAGGCGATTACAAATGTTTTGCNTTTNNTTTTTTTTTTTTTTTTTTTTTGAATTTTTTAATGTTACTTTTTTAAGAAAATAGATTTTTTAGTATATTTTACTGCCAAATCTTGTATTAAAATATATATGAAATTTTGTATTTTCTATTATTGAATATAATAGGGTTTTTAATAGCAAGATAGTAACACACAATTTTTTTTCAAACTTTATAACCGCGTGATTTTGAATTATAAAACACAAGAAAATTTGTTAACTAAAAATGTTTCGTTTTATGAGAATCTTTTTTCATAAAAAACTCACACAATCAAAATTTAATTTTAAAAAATATACAAATTAAAAGAAACTTACATTCGTGTGATATAAAAATGCAAAGATAATTTTGAAACAAAAATTTTTAATCTTGGAACATTACCACTCTCCTCTCTCTCTCTCTCTAAAAAAAAAAAAACGATGCGCGCATGTCCGCGAAAATATCTGGAAATTTATATCATACATGTCAAATTTTATTCTCACAAAAGAGAAGCAGTTGCGATCTTTCTGGGATCATGTAAAGGTATATACAGAACAAATAACAATCGCCAGATATATATATCTATCGGCAAACTGGCAACAGTTGACATCCCGATCGGATACAGCAGTTTACATCCAGAATCGTTGTTTATTTTTTGTTATACATAATTAGTTTAAGTGTGTTTAACAGAATTGACCAAACCAATTGGCATTTATCACCACTTTAATTCGACTAGCTTAATCAGAGATTGGGAAATCGGTTCTTATCGGTTATCTTTTGATGTCATACTGCTATACTTAGGCAATATGGTAAAATTGTCGACAATATTTATCTAGTAACTTGGAAACAAATTGCCAACATTGCTTCCGTACGATTACTCGGCATGTATATCGACTTTAATCACTTACATAATTCCGTACCATTGATTAAAAGAACTATATTTTACGGGATCATTTTATCTTTTGACACGGATTATAAGAAGGCGAGTTTCTTCATTTAATTTAAAACGAATTAATTACAAATTGAGTGTTTGTCAACGCGCGAATTATTTCTTTTCTTAACGATCAGTCGTGTGGGAGATAAAACGTCAGTCGCGGCATCTTATTACCGGCAAACGTTACCGTGCTCACTCGCATTTTTATCGATGTTGTTAGTGCATCTCAACAAAAGCACGAAGATGGTGAGGTACTCTGTTAATATTCTGCGTCTTTTTGACCACCCGCGCGGCTAAACAGGCGAGCGTGATATATTTCACTGGTCGGATCATGTTGTAACGCTCTTCGTCGTTCAACAGATCCTTGAACGTCTTGCCATTGTTGTTAACGGTGTCGATGTGCGCTCCGGCATCAAGGAGATCGGTCGCTAAATTCCAGTGCCAAGTGCGGCCCAAAGAAGGAAACAGGGCGGCCAAGTGTAGAGCTGTGTTTCCATCGTTGTCTTTGGCCGTTACATCTGCGCCTACTCTCAGCAGTGCTTGGGTCAAGTGAGAAGACGGAATCTTGCACGTAGGGTATCTTCCGACCAGCGTAACGTCTTCGCTGTATACCAATTGCAACACATCGCGACCCTGAAAAATGCGCCACAAAATCAATGATATTAGAGAAACCAATCTTCTGCGTGCACTTTTTTCTGCGGTGTTTGATCGATTACTCACATGTTTGCCTTTGGCATGTATTCGAACTAACTTGTAGATCTCTCTATGTAACTCGTCGTACTCTTCACTACCTTTTTCCCCGGTTTCGCGTGTTAACAGACATGCCAGGTGCAGAGTAATGATAAGAACCCTGTTTAAGAACGTAAGATCGCGCTCGCATGCCAGATCGCCCATCTTTTCCAACATCTGCTTTCCCTTACTAACTTCATTGACCTGTAATGTTTACGAGATAACGATCAATGTCAACGGAACGAGGATACATGTCCGGACAGACAATAATAACGTTTTTAAACTCACAGCTTTCTGAAAAACTTTCAAGAGATCCTTTCTCTTTAACGGCGGTACTCTACGTCCCCTGGTTGTATTTCTACCTTCCTCACCTACCATAAAACTAAAGAGTTCGGTGAAACTGAATAGAGAGCTTTGCGTCATTGGATTCAGCGGCTCCAGCATGCTTTGCTGCATGTCGAGAGCGTAGTTCCACAATTCGATACAGCGACGAAATTTACCAGCGTCCGCGTATACCGCTCCACGATATCTGATATAGTAACTCGTATCCGGGTGAGCTGGTCCTAATATACGTTCTCTTATCACCAATGCCTGCATGCGCATTTTGTCGGGATCCGCCAACAGATTATCCAATTCTTCGGGAGAAGTCACTTCTCGAGCGTAATCGTAAGCGGCTACAGAAGGTGGAGATTCGGGTTTTGGTATCAGTGGGCCGTCTCCCCGATATCTGAAAGACAATGCAAGAGATCCGATGTTTTTTCTTTCTTTTCACAAAGTATGAACATTTAAAACAAAAAACGCGATTTTTTAAAGATAATCCGAAAATAGAAAGATATGTACCGCTCGTCCATAGCTCGTTTCCATAGCTGCAAGGCGCCTATTATATCCCTCTTTTTATCTACATAAGTAGCTCCAAGCAACTCCAACGCATCGATACGTTCTTTCCTGCTGAACAGCTGCGGAATGCCTATCAGATACTCGACGATATGCGTGTGACCTGCAAGAGAGGAAACGAAACAAAGATGTTTGATTGGCGCTCGCTTTTTCCTCGGTCGTTCAAGCGTCGAGCGGAACGGATCGCTTCAAACGAGCAAAATAAACTGTCTTAGGGGAACCTTCGACTGATGCGTGGAACTTTCTGCTTTAACCTGTTACTGCTGCCGCGAGGAGTGGCGTCATCCCGTAGGAGTCCACGTCCATCTGGGCACCGTGCTCCACGAGTATCTTCAGTATCTCAAGAGATCCGCTTTCGGCACAGTCGTGCAGCGCTGTGTTGCCCTTCACAGACTTGCGATTCGCATCCGCCTTTAAGGAGAGTAGGAACTTTGCGATTTTAACGTGTCCTCGATAACATGCAATCATCAGGCATGTATGTCCGTGTCGGTTTGCCATCTCGATGTCTACAACGGAGATACTCTGCTGTAGCTTGTTTATTTATTTGACATTTCAAGTCAATTTATATATCGTATGTGCTCGGCCGAACATATTTTTTATTTATATTGAACTTTAACAATCACCCAGACGTAATTTTAGCAAAGTCATGATAAAAACATTTTGTAAGCTGCTTAATCTTAAATTATTCAACTTGAATGTATGCTTAACAGATTTGTTTGTTGTTTTGTTTCCATGCTAATTTATGTATTCTTCAGAGAGACGCGGAAATATTTTTTATACGCATTGTCATAAAAAACATTTTTTCTATCCTACATCTACAGTATGTTCATATTTTTTACCTGCACCGTGTTGCACTAAAAACTTAACGATGTCATAATGTCCATCGAAGCAAGCGGCGCGAAGAGGAGTGGAATTTGTTTTTGTGATCGAGTTCACCTTAGCGCCACGTTTCACCAATAATTTGACTAGAGCCAAGTGTCCAGCAGCTGCCGCGCACCACAGAGGTGGCGCACCCTCGATTGTCTCGCCTTCGAAGACCACTGTTTTCGAACAACATATCTCAATAACAAAGGGAAAATATGTTTCTAAAAGGATTTATCGAACAAAGATGCTCTATGAGCGTTTTAATTGCACCAAAGTCAAGCGCGCGAAGATTTAGTGCTCGCGCAATACGTGTTTAAAATCTATTTTTTGTGATTTTTTTTTTCATTTACGAAGATTAACAAAAGAAATTCCCTAATCTTATACAGAATATTTATTACAATGAGAATATTCATTACACGCTATTAAGTTTTTTCTCACCGCTAATCCTGTCTAGAAAAAAAAACAATTACGACTCGAATCTGTTGTAAAAGAAAAATAAATCTCTGCCAAACATGAGTGTTTTTGGTTTGAAAGTTGCGAGATCAAGATGATAGATGGTTCATCCGAAATGGTCCGAACAAGATCGTTAATGAAAGATCCTCACCTGATCCTGGTTGATCCACGTCTGCTCCGCATTTCTCAATGAGATACTCCGCCACATCATAATGTCCGTTCCGACATGCCATGACTAAAGGTGTTGCACCATGGGTCTTGGCAGCGACTAGTTGTCCTACCTCATCCTTGGCACGATGATCCAGAAACACCTTTTGAAAGAGAAGAGAAAAACTTCTTGACACAGGTGTCACAAATCTCCACAGCACATCGCAAACTCTCATCGCAGAAAACGGAAACGAATCGAATTTTTAATGCAACAAGTAGAACGCGTCTTTCGCCTTTCAGTAGAAACTGTCACTACGATCGCAGCTGTCACGTCAACTTACATTTGACAGTACGGTACCCGTGTTGAACCGTTTAACAAGTTAACACGCCAGCAAGCACGAACACGTGCCACTCGATGTATGTGGACAGGGATTTCAAACCCGACTGATTCAAGATTCAAGCGATATTTTTTGTATATGGCGTCCCACACCAAAAGTCGAGGATGAGCGGTGAATGTAAAATATCGAAGTTTCAAAAGCTCCCGATTTTAATCACACACGTGCAGTATCGCGTTGGTAAAACAACTCGCCTAACACAGAATCGATCAACTTTTCTTCCAATTTCTCACTATTTCTAGTTTAATATTCTTGTGAATTTGTTTTTAAATTTTTTGTCCTTGTATATTATTGATTAATATATTTACATTCATTTTTTTTAAGAAAATGACTATGATATTTAAATTAAAATCAAAAGAAAAGATAAGAGATGATACTCCGTTGAGAAGTGTCAAAATAAGAAACTGGTTTTGAGTTGGGCGTTTTTTCAGACAATCGCGGACTATCTTCGCCGAGTTACCGTGTCGACGTTCACTGTCGATCTGAGCACCACGTGCTTGGGAAACACGTTTCGTTTATATGCTAGTTGAGAGATGGTATCCCTTGCGTCAACCGGTGCGAGAACGTTCTTCGCAAACATGCACTGTCATTACATGTACGTTTATACTGTATTATAATATACCGCGAAGTGACGACAGTTTTAGCGCGTTCGCAGTTCCGCACGAAAACTAATTTACACGATTTCAAGTATCACAAAGCGAAGTGCCAAATACCTATGACAATATTAGTAGATTGTTAACCGTTCACACACAAAACTAGCAAATAATTACAACAAATCGATATTGCGTCACAAGGACGTTAAGTAAAACTTTGCGAGGAACCGTCAGGTTGTTACCGAATCAAACGTCGAGTCTGATCGAATCGCGTCGGATTACGTTTGGAGACAATCGCGAATTTTCGGTTTTATCTCTTCCAAAAGATCGAACGATTCTTTGCGTTTCTCAGTGTTATTTGAAGAAAGCTTGAAATATCTCTTCGCATCGAAGACAGAAGAAAATCGTCCACGCGCGCACCCGCCTAGAAGAAGACTGAGACGCAAGAGCCGAACCCCTTAACGCGCTACCTTCTGGAGAAATCCTCGTGGACATGCGAGTCCCGTTAAACGAATAATCGAAGACATTGGAACCATCGTGACAAGCAAATTGCTGTTTAACGATGGACCTGCTAACAAAGAAAAAGAGTGGGGAGATTTACTTTCTTACTCTTTCTCTTCCTCCCTCTTATTCTTCTTTCCTTCTCTTTTTCTCGCTCTCCTTTTAACATTCTTTCTTTTGTGAAGAAAGAACCTACTTTTCGGGAATGTCTTACTTTGCTCGTACGACTCCTTTGTAATCAAATTTTTCGCTCACGAATTGGTTTTTTTGTCAAACTCTCACATAAATGTGATTTTATTCTCTTCGCAAACTCTCTTTGGTGCCTTTTTTTTTACATTTTTGAGTTATTGTATACAATATTTTTTTCAGTTACTATTTAATCAATTTCACAGCTAGTATGATTTTCGTCGATAGAAAAAAAATACTAAGGTTTCTATCTTGCGCGAGAAATTTTTCTTTCGTTCGAATTTTTGTCTCTTGACCACACTCGTATAGAACAGGTGCCGTTATTTCTGTGACCGATTTACTTTTTCGTGGGCCGCCTATTCTGCATCGGTTCCTTGCTCTTTCTTTCACGTTCCAGTTTTGGTTCCTCGATGAAATGTAGGTAACTGGCACAACTCAATACCGAAACGAGCTCGTAAAATACATAAGACAGAACTTAACTGCGCTTTTATATGTTCACGTTGAATGAAAACACACGCCTTGAGAGCGTCACCGCGTCGGCAATTTTCCACTTTAGGAGATACGTGCAACAGCTGCGGAAAGCGGTCGCTCGCAACAATAATAACGCGAATAATCAATAATATAACGACCAAGTTGCACCCGAAAGAACACAGGTTGCAAAACAAGACTGATTGGTCGTTTCAGATTGCGCGACGGATTTCGACGAACTCAAAAAGGAAAGAGAAAGAGCAGATAGACCCCGTCCTCACTTTTCTTTCTCTCTCTGTCTCCCCTCTCCCTCCAGCTAATTGATAAAAATTGCAACTCCAAAACGTTAGCGAGGCGCGGTTGCGCAAACTCGTCGAATGCCGAACTTCCTCGATGTCAGCGATAACGTTTTCGTAACTGCGTTTGATGACGAAATACAATACCCTATTTCGACACGCCGATAAACAACCAATTTCGTCGCGTCGCAATTAAATTAATAGCTGTGAGTAACAAATTTCAAACAACGACGCGACACTACGTGCCACGTTCATTTCCGACGTTTGTCTCTCGTGGAAAACAGGTTATCAGAGTCATTTCCTCGACTTCTTCAGACATTGTCGATTTTTACGTTCGCTTTTAAAAAGATGCTTTAATAAGGCTCTCTCTTTTGTCGATTCTTCATTTATTTAAATTAATCAACACATTCGGACACAACAACATTATCGACGTGTTGTTTACAATTCTAGTTACAAATTTGACGTAATTTCGGGACAATTAATGTACAAACCGCAGTCAAGTATCGATAAGCGGATGTCGTATTTGTTTTGCGGTCGAATAATGCATGCGCAATTGTTAGCGCAACACACACACACACGCTCCACTTAGCTTTTACATTAGTCATCGATAGGTTCACACTACAGGTCGCGCTGTGTGAGAAGTGGCACGACATGTCGCAAATATATCTATGTTTGTTTCGCGTTGATTAAACGTGGCAATTAAATCTATCGACTCATTATGGAAAAAGCTATCAATCCTCGACGAAACACAACAAACGTCGATGTTTTACAATGTTTAACGTGGATTGGCACGACGAGAAATTTACGAATTCGCGCGCGCGCGCACCGTTCGGAAGACAGAAATAATAAAGTATGAATGAACGGAATATCACGTGCACAATGGCGGCGCAATTGACAGGATCGCGTAATAAATCATCATTCGTTAGCGATTATTACCCGCGGATAATAATCGCATACGACAATGATGATTTACGATTGATTTATACGTGCATTCATGTGTGACGAGCATTATGCAAACCGAGATTTACCACGATTGTAGATAAATTTCGCGTGCACGTAAAACGGTATTACGGCACGCGCGAAATGAGTCGCACACATACGACGAACCATGTAATTCACGCGAAAACGCCGCGAAAATCCCATTACGACCGACCTCGACCGACTTGCCGCGCACAGTATAGTTGTAATTACGGCGTTACGATTGCATCGTTGGGTATTCCGGAGCGACAAAAAGTTTCCGCGACAATTACGATTACGGAATTCGAGAGAAAGAGAGAGACGACGTGTAAGAATTGCGCTCGACCAGATAATTTTGCGTCGCGATTTCCTTCAGACAGAATGTATTGTTCCGAGTAAAATTATGATCGTCGTGTAATTGCGCGAGAAAAACACGCGGTCGCTGATCCGATCGATAACGCGAGTAACGAACGCGACCTATCGTATGTAGAATCGCGCGACGACTTAGAACGTGATCGATGCCGGTCGTTATTCGTTATTACCCCGCATTCGTTTTATACGAGGCGGCGCTGTCCGGAAAATTATCTAATGCCGTTCTCGCGACGCGATTTAATCGTCTTCTTTTTTTTTTCCTTTGTACATATCGATCATCGGAGTAATCGTTCAGCAAAGTGACTCATTTCCTTCGCTCCTGTTGCCACCGATTTTGTAGAAAGTTACTCTATTGACGATAAACAAGGTTTGGGTTCGATTACTTGATCACTTTGTCACAGCGAAACTCGTTCCATTTCCCCAAGCACGGGTATCAAATAATATTCGACAATTAACGTGATTGTATATAAAACAACATTATGACTCAACGACAATTCGGCTCGTGATTTTGTCACCCATACATCTCACAATACATATTCATTGTTAACATCACGCATATCTTATATCTTTATAAGTGACATCACGCTCATTTTATATATTACTTTGTTGACATTTAGTTTTTAGTCTGGCTTTACTTATCACACACACACACACAAATCCCACGAAAATGTTACATGACACTATTAAGTATAAACAAATTAGTAGTAAGTATTAGAAAGACAATATATTTTGATTCGATGGGGAAACAACATCGAGTGATTTACCACAAAAAAGAACAACCGCCTATTTTTTTTTTACAAAATTTAAATCTTAACTCGATCGAGCTCGCGTCGCTGCGACTATGTGCTAAGAGCAAACTTTTACAAACAATTATGTAATCGTGCAATTGACAGAAAGTTAAAACATTCAAATCCTCGTTAAATAGCGAATAATTTACTGAACAACATAATAGATCTATAAAAATGAAATATTTTCACCAGCCGTCAGTCGTAAGTAGTCCGTCAAACGTGATGTTTCTAGCATCAACTCGTTGTGACGAACACATTGTTGAATAATGTTTCTCTCTTACTGACGGACACAACCGGTTCGTAACAGAACGCGTTTCTCGTAAAGGACAACGAACTATCGTTGTCGGACGAAAATATACTCAAGAAGAAGAGCGCGCGCTTTCTGTCTGTCGTTTTTCGCTGGAACTCTTTCTCTTGTGACTCAAAGAGGAAATTACTCCGCATCATCGCAATGACTAGCGGGATTTCCAGCTGTCGTCTGGAAATTTCTGCGCTGTGTTTGTCCTAAACAACAAAGAGACCGTCATCTAAAACCTAAGAAAATTGTCTCGTTCCAAGACAATGGAGCGATCTTGGCATTTGTGTCTTGCGACTCCCGCGATTGGAAAAACCTCACATGTGTAGCATTCCATTGAGAAAATCCGCGCGAATCACAAGTTACGTAGAAAGAGCAATTAAATTAAAAAAACAATCTTGGTTTACGTTATTCGCATAATTGTCAAAAATTAAATTGCTTTGCGTAAAAACTTACCAGCGTAAACAACTCGTCATTTTCCTCATGCTCCATTTAATTGCAGTTGAATATTTAGATGTGTGTAAATGACTCGCGAACAATTAGAAATTACACTACGATAAATGCAAGACGTTTCGAAAACAAAACGAGCAAGATAACTTAGAAATATTTTTTATTATAATTTCCTGATAGTTTGTATAATGTTTTTATAATGTTATTCGCGCGATAAATAAATCGTCGTTTATTTTATCATTAGTTTTAAAAAACAATCACGCTTAAAAAATAAAATATTTTATTTTTTTTTATTATCTTACGCACATGGAAGATTGAAATCTGATTTTGCAAGTAATTATAAAATAATGCAAATGTATAAGCTAATAAATTACGTAAGCAATTATAGAATTAATAATTTATCGAGTAGTCAAAGAATATAGAAGAAAACTAATTTATTGTATAATTTATTATTAGTATCAAAACATGTGACAGTTGGGATTTAGTTTCCTCAGACAGCGTTTCAAATCGCTCTAATCCTCACTATTATTAAAGAGAGATTCATTTTGCGAATTAAAAATTAAATCGAGATAAAATGTACTCATGTATATTCAAGAATTCGCGCAAATCCAGATCGAAATCGAGCAAAAGAAAAAAAGAACTCCGATGTCAAGCACACTGATGTAGATTCGAATTATTACTGAAGCAGTTTC